TGACCTATACTTGTGGTAACCCTGATGATACTCAAGATTACCAAGTGAGAATGCCCTCTCTTGAATAGATACTGAACAGCCTATGCTATCCTGGTGGACGACCTTTCAGATAAAAAATGTTGCGTAGTACTTCAGCTTGCCTATTACTTCTAACAGTTTTTACTGTTTTTTTTTTTGTTTGATATATGCATGGCATGCGCGCAACACTGACTAAAATAATACTTGGCATTGGACACTGATTGGTATAGCAAAACACAAGCTTACGAGAGAGTCTGTCTGAGGTTGCTGTAATCTTAGCAAGGTCATGTGAGCTGATTTTGTAGTGCAAACTTAAAAGTAATGTTTCCCAAGATGTAATCACTTCTTTCTATAGTGTACTTACAGTGTAACAAACCAAGAACAAAGTGATAAAAACAACCACAAACTTCATTTTTTTCTCTGCGAAAAGAAACCGTCGAGTTAACATGTGCACAGTTACATTATGTTAGAGCGATTTTATAAGCTTAGGTGTTCCTTTTTATCTAAAAATGAAAGAAAAAAAAACAAAAAAACAAGGGTTCGAACAAATTAATAAAACATTAGCTGAAATGGTGTTGGAAGCGAAAGAAGCACTAATTTGAAAGGATGAAGTGGACTCAGGTTTCTGTCAAAGTTAATAGAGGGGAATGGTTATGAAGCTCGACAAAGTTCTTTGTAGTATGTTTTTGTTCTCTTTTTGGCTTTGACCGTGCACAAAACACAATAGTTGTTTACTACTGACCGAGGAACTAACCAATGGAATTGTTTTGATTACGTAACTCGTGAACCATTCAGTATAAATCTTGGCATCTTTGTTTGTTCTCGGGCTTCATTATCATTCCCCCCTATTACCTATGGTTTCTGTGGATCATAATTCACTCCTTTAAAGCTGCTAATTCTTCAGCAGAAAGTGTTCGGTATTTTTAGCCAGTTTCATGCTCACAACTTAACATATATAATTATAGCATTACAGGGCAGTACTTAGAAATTTGAAGAAATACATGTTTCTTCCACAACGATCTAACTAGAACTAAAAAATTACTTAATACGCAATGGAAGTGGAGTTTCTATATCACAGAACAGCTGAGTTCCAATAGTCTTTACCTCGTACTTCGCTCGACAGATTCCAACGGTATCGAATCTTTCCTCAAAAAAAAAAGAGAAGAAAATAATTTTAAACCAATAAGTCATTTCCGAGTTGCTCTTACCTCTGTTTCAAAATGAGTCTTGGTGTACAACCTTTCATAACGAAATAGGTGTTCCTTGAACGTTGATTTTCTTGCAAATCAAACTCATTTCCAAAAACAGAGGTAAAAAGAGACTCGGAAAGAGCTTATTGAAAGCTCGTATATTTTAACGCTTTCATAGATGTTAGATGCTATATGCTTAAAGGACATATTCACTCGCGTACCTCGTATCTCGAAGTAAGATGTGAAAATGATTCGCTTTGTTCCTTCACACCCAGGAGAGTGTTATGATGCAGTATTACGCCACACATCAATTTATAGTGATCGCGTCACACGAAAATTCACTCAAATTGTTTTCTCACCGGCCCTAACTGTGTTTAATTAATCATTTCAGGAATCATTTCAACAAATCATAGACTTTATGTTTACGTTAACAGCTCAATTTAAATGCCTAGCCTTTAATGGAAATTCAAACATATGTGTACTGACCTGAGCAAATATACTATCAGCAACTTTGAGAATGTGACACTGTGTATATAACCTTAATATTAGCTTTAAAATTGTGAGTTAAAAGGGACTGTGGTTAAAAAACGGGACTTTACAAAACCTTTTAATCTTATCATGAGTCAGAAATTTGGTGTAGTCGTACATTCATATCACGACAGTTATGATTACGTCTTTCAAAAATAACCAAACAAGTTCAATGGATAATCGCATATGAGTAAACTAAAGAGCGTTGTTGTCCTTAATGGAACTCAAACATGTCGTCTTGATCTTGGCAAATTAACTGTCGACAAGTCTTGATATAAATTAAAAACTCTGAGAACATGGCGCCTGTGTATATCGAACCTGTTTAATTTTAATAATTGCTTTTAACGAGGAGTTAAACAAAACAGGCTGTGTTTATAAAACGAGACTCTACGAAACCATTTATTCTTATCGCGAGTCACCTTTGGCACATAACAGCGATTCTGTCTTTCAAAAACAACCAAGCAACTGCACTGTTTAGATCCAACGGTTGTTGACACTATCTGAGTAATCAAAAAAGAACCTTGTCCTTAATGGAAACTCAACATATTGTATTGACTTGAGCATATAAACTGTCAGTAAGTCTTGATTTAATACTCTGAGAACACCGCGCCTATCTTTATACCTTTTAACCCTTGATAATGGCTTTTAATGAAGAGTTAGAAAAAAGGCTGTGTTTCTATAATGAGTCTTAAAGAAATCTTGTATTTTTTTAGTGAGTTCGGTTGACTTGTTATGAGTCAGAACTGTGGTATTATCATACAGTGATATTACCGCAATAATTCCGTCTTTCATAAAAGAACATTTATATAACGAGACTTAAAGAAACCTATTATTCTGGTAGTGAAAAAAAAAAAAAAAAAAAAAAAAAAAAGAGCCCGAAATGTAGCAGCTCAAGAAAGCTTGCAATTCTTCTTGTCGTCATAATGTAGCAGCTGTTATAGTTTTGGCGCTAGGGGTATTAATTGTTTCTGTCGTGTGTTCTGCTGTTCTGTCAAAGTGTATCGAGCCATTTGTGTGAAACCGTGCGAGAGCTGCTATTCAACCCAAAACAATCAGAGTTTGATTCGCGAAATTCTTTTGTTGCCAAAGCGCTGAGCTAAAGTTCTTTCCGCCTACACGAAAAGCTCAGTTCTGCATCAGTTTTAACCCTGGTATGTAGATGTATAAAGAAATTTGTAGCAAAGTGGTGATTCATCGTGAAGAATAAAACGCCAGATTTCGAATAGATAATAACTTGGTAAAGTTTACCTTTAGCTGTTCGACAATGAATCTTTTGTTATCCCTCTAGAGTAGTCTTCTTGTTCTCAAGTATTAAAGACTTCGTTGTAGAATCGGCGATGCGGTGATCATTACTTTTATACAATTCAGAAGAACTAATTTTAGATGCACCTTAAAAAAACTCCGTTATTCTAGAGTCTGCGGTTCCACTCGGCTATCGCCTCGTGGACCCACAGCTTCACTGATAATGTTGTGACGAAATTCATGGTCAATAACAGGAAAAACGCATGAGAAACGAACGTCAATTTGTTAAATATATCCCTTTTGGCTTTTGCGACCAGTGAATTGGATTCTTTAAACAGATTGTCAGGAGCTAATGGATACATGACAGGCTGCAATGCTTCAGATACATTAAACTGAAAGAAAATACAGCTTAACATGGACACAGTTCAATACCCGACTTTTTCGGGTATTTCCTTATCTAGATAACCATCATGATTTCTGAATTTAATTAGCTAAATTTTCCAAAAATATTTCCACTGTTGTAAAATTCTTCACCAAATATTTTATCTATACAGCAGCATTCTTCGATCAGTTTTTTTGATGCCATTACTACGGTATAGAAATCTGTCATCGAAGGCGTATAGTGTAAGAACTCAACTCGGGCTCTCTACAACGTTTAGATTACCAGCGAATATTTGACACTTTTAAGAGCCTTTTGAGCCTTATATCTAATTTCTCTACCACGTACCTGTAGAAAGTAAACTTTATTTGAGATCCAGTAGCATTCGAAGAGTGATCTGAGCTATCAGGGTAACAGTATTCGGAATTCAGAAATATTAATTTATCATGCAGTAATTCGTAAATCTTAAAATATATTAAGCTTTTTTTCGGTGACACTTATAATGGAATTTCCAGTTAGTATTAAGTGGAAGGCTATCTTATAGACGACATACTTGCATCAGTAGGCGATACTTAAGATGGGCGCTGAGAACTCGGTGTTGGGTGGCATTCTCATTGGAAAAAGGAAACAGCTTATCCATGAAATGGTCATGCATTCATTCCCTTTTTCTCCACTAGTGAGCTGTTACCTTAAAATTGCTGACCATTATGAAAGTCTCTGGATCATGTACAAAATCTATTAAGTACAAACTGTCCACGGTACGGTTGAAACCCGCTATTTCGAGCTCTCGGGAGGAACACAAAAAAGCTCGAGATAGGGGTGGTTCGAGTTGGTAGGAGAATAAATGCCTGAAAAGTATAACGAAGGGAAAATGACTCGAGTTCGAGAAGGTGGTGAGTTTGAAATAACGATGCTTAATTGAATATTATATTTCCGTTCTCAAATCAGGTGAGTGTGATTACACTCTTCTTCAATAAGAAAAATACATTTTATAAGAATATTGGGGCTGCTATTTGCGAAATTTTTAGAATATTTTAAGAATAAACCCGTGGCTGAGATTTTGAAAAGAATATTAGTTTTTGTTTTGAAAATTTGTAAATGCAATACAGTTATATGTTTTTTACTAAGCCGTATCAATTCTTCCATTCTCTAAACGATGCTAATAGCATTTCTACAAGTAGTTATGTGTGTCGTATTAAGCTTTATTGCCTTTAGTCTGGCAAATTACCTATACGCCATCAAAGTCATGATAGCTATATAGGACAGATACTCTGACGTTATGGTGGCATAGTCAGTCTACTTTATATTCCTATAAACTAAGAATATTTCTCAAGGGTATTTTCAGCCTTAAGTCGGTAGAAAACTAAGAATATTCAGCCCGGGCCAGAAAAGCGATAATCATATTGCAAAAAACAAAGAATCTAGTCTGAGACAGCCAAAAATTTCGCATATTTTAAAGTATTGCTCGTGCTAACCCTTACCCCATACATGTACGTCCGTTTTACACCCTTAGTAACAGATAATGAGTTGTTCTTTCCATCCATGGGTACAAAGATAATTGTCAAAATTCAAACTAGATTGTAGCGTTTGTGAAAGAGCTAGGTTGCTTAACCGTCAAACCGGCCGGGAGCGATGATCGGGGTGAGAGGTCCAGTTAATTATTTGCAGGGCATAATGCGGTCTTAAAAGCAACTAACTGTTTTAGAATGTGTCTTGGAAAAAAGATCAGTTCGTACTGGCTCCAAATTGAGAAAACATACTCTGAATTGAACTTCTTATTGTAAAGAAATATCGATAAGAAATAAATTACTAATTTATTATTATGAATTCAGCATTGGTCAGACTCTCGAATTTACAATAAATTCCGACCACACGCAAAAGGCTGCTTAAATATGTCGTTTTGTATTTCAAAAATTTTTATTTCCTGCTGCTAAAGTCCACATCACTCCTTTGCTGTGGGAGTTACACTGGTCCCCTGTTCGCTACCGTATCGAATATAAAATAATATTCTTACATTTCGGTTATTTGCGCCTTTAAAATAAATATTTTATTCCCGCCTCAGTATAATTTAAGACGCAGTCATCATACTAGAGTTCATTTACACCTCCTAAAGCTAGAACAAAGAAGACTTTGGAGGACAGATCATGTAGCAGCGCCCAGAATGAAAGCTACTTGAAACTACTATTTTCACATGTAAGTTTATACTTCCACGCAATCAATTATATCTTCTAAGCCCCAAATCAAAGGCTTTTTATGTATATATCACTGTTGTGGAGGACCTGGGAGGTGATTTGTCTTTTGCTGGCTCATCAGTCATTAGTCGAATGGCTACAACAGTGAAGGTTTTCCTAGACACAACGTAGCCGACCAGAAAAACACGCCATCACCGAAATCATTGCTAGTATTTTGGACTAAGATAAGATATGGAACGAAGTTTGCTCAAATTCAAGGCAATAAATATAAAAACTACTCTTTTAGTTAAAAGAGTAATACAGTTACACATTTTCTTGAATATTCTCTTTTATTAAAAACTAGGTTATTGAAATGCAATTCGAGAGTTTTCATCGGCTCTGCCATCATGGGTAATGAGCCATTATATTACGCTCTACAAATGTGGTAAGCTAACGTGGGATTTTTTTGGGGACGTTGCAATTTTTATTTTATTCTAGGGGCGTTTATTGAATTACTATTATATATTCCACTCATATTTCTTCGATATGAGATGATTATGGCCAACTCGACGCTACGCGCCTCCTTCGCTATCTAACCATCTCGTATCCAACGCTCGCTCGTGGAATAATTGTTAAATATACTCCATTGCGGAGTGTCTTCTAGAATAGCTTAGCGTGGGAGACAACATACGTAGCTACTTTTTACGAGTAAGGTTTTCAATACAAGAAAACCAAACATTGAAATACTTTTTCCTTTTCCCATTTTGTGACAACACTACAGTTTGCGAAACGAAAAAAAGAAATAACACGTCTTAATGCCGATGGAGAGTCCGTATAAAAAAAAAAGTTAAGCCTTGGAGCTGACTAGCTCGTAGCTGCCGGGGCTTATCCCGGTTTCTGTATCATGAAGCGGTTAGGTGTATTTCTACTCCCCCTGGACGGGATGCTGGTCCATCGCAGGTCTCTCCCCCGCAATTTGTTAGGTTTCCCCGACAATTCGCCGGTACCCATTTATACTCCTGGGTGCCGAGAGGCACTGTAAGAGTTACGTGTCTTGCCCAACAACAAAACACAGTGTCCCCGGCCAGGGCTCAAACCCGGACCGCTCGATCCGGAGACGAGCCCACCAACCATGAGGCCACCGCGCCTCCACAAGAGTCCGTGTAATTCCATAAACTGTTTAATAAAACATCATGTTAGGGTCACCTAGTCGCATCCTAAAAGCCTTCAAATTTCTACTTTAATTTAGCGACGAGTGTTGGTCTGCTTCATGAATTCCCTTATTTTTACGATGTGTATAGATATTAGAAAACTGCA